GGTAGAATTGGTTTTGAAATGTGAAGACATGATATTTGAGAGGGGCCACAGGCAGAATAATATGGCTTGGCTCTGTGTCTCCACTTAAATCTCATCTTGTAGCTCCCAATATTCCCACATGTTGTGGGGGGGACCCAGTGGGAGATAACGGAATCATGGAGTTGGGTCTTTCTCATACTGGTCTTGTGATAGTGAATAAGTCCCAAGAGATCTGATGGTTTTAAAAACGAGAGTTTCCCTACACAGCTCTCCCTCTCTTTGCCTGCTGCCATCTGTGTAAGATGTGATTTGCTCCTCCTTGCCTTCCACCATGATTGTGAGGCTTACCCAGCCACGTGGAACTGTAAGTCCATTAAACCTCTTTCTTTTGTAACTTGCCCCTTCTTGGGTATGTCTTTATTGGCAGTGTGAAAATGAACTAATACAGAGAGGTTACCATACTTCATTTCAAGGTTTACAAATTAACAGTAATCACTATAGTGTGCAATTGTCATAATTATAGAAATATACCAATGAAAGAGAATAAAGTCCAGGAATAGATCCACATGTACACACATATATAGAAAAGCCAAATATTGATAAAGATAATTATCTCATGTGATTATGAGGTCTGGATATATCTCAAATCTGTAAGGCAGGCCAGCTGGTTAGAAACTCAGACAGCACTGTTATGTTAGTCTTGTGGTAGAATTCCTTTTCCAGGAAACCCTGGTCTTTCATCATCCAGTTGAAGGTGTTAAACCTTCAACTAATTGGATGAGGCCCATCCACATCATGGAGGTTAAACTGCTTTACTTAAAGTCAATTGATTGTAAATGTTGATCACATCTACAAAATACCTACATAGCAACATCTAGACTCCTGTTTGACTACACAGCTGAGCACTATAGCCTAGACAAGTTGACATAATACTAACCATTGCATGTATCTTGCACTGTACAAAAATGTAACTCAAAATGAACCACAGACTTAAATGTCAAAATAACATTTTTTTTCTAGGAGAAAATGAAAGAAATATTGTGTTACCTGGAATTATGCCTTAGTCAGGTCAATCTGCCATAAAAACATGTCATGGACTAAGTAGCTGAAACAACAGAAATTAATTTTTTTTCACACTTTTGAAGTCTGGAAGCCCCAGATAAAGGAGTGGTGAATTAGTAGAATATTAAATGAATAAACAGGCTCTGCCCAAGGAAGTAATATATGATTTAACATTAGATAAAATACTGTTTCATTGTAATTCCTTACACACAAAATAGTGGAGAAAAAAATTTTGATCCTGGCAATGGGTACAGAAAAAGCTTTTTAAAGAAATTTAATGTGAGTTCATGGTAAAACATATTTAGTTAACCTTTATTGAAAAATAACTTCCATTTCTAAACTCAACAGCAAACGTAGTTAAATGTGAAACGTTCGAAGAATTATTAAAGTCAGGAATGAGAAGCAGATGTAGGCTATTACCTCTACATTTCAAATCAGGATTGAGACACAAAGATCTAGAAGTAACAAAATAAAAAAGTGGTATGAATATTGGAAAAACATATAACTTTTAGTGATAATACCATTATCAGTCTTGAAAATTCAAAGGAAAAGGTGTGTGGAACATTCAAGTGCATGGTCCTTCAGCACAAGGTGTAAAACAGATTACTAAACCAAAATGAGAATCTTCGCCTCATGAAAGCAATAACCAACTAGAACAATTAATAGACAATATGCCATTTGCGATAGCAACAAAATCCAAGAAATACCTGAAAAGAAGTCTACCAAAAATGCACAAGGTCTTTGTAGAGGCAACTATCAAAGTATAATGACATATTCAGGTAAAAAGAGTTTGAAATAAATATGGCATAACATACTCATTCATAGGGAACACAACGTTGTAAAAATGTAAACTCTGCTTAAATTATTTACAGTTTAGTGCCTTACCTGTAGCTGTCGACATTAGAATCAACTTTGGGTTGCTGTGCTCTGCTTCTCAAATCAACACTGGAAATTTATAGAATGGAAAAAGAAAGAAAAAAACCAGTATCAGCAACAAAATTCATGCAACAAAAGAGAGAAAACCCCTGGGTGAGACTGAAGACTGTGTTGAGCTGGTACTTGTGTTTGACACTTGCAGTGACGGTTGGACAGGAGTTGGCGGCAGGGATGTTGGAGAGGTTTGTAGCCTACCTAGACAGCAGATGACACAATGGGTAGAAGAAAGGTTTCGCAATTTCCACTTCACTTCATTGCACAAAGTGAGGCAGCCCCTGAAACCACGATGCCAAGAGCCCTAGTGTAATAATAGCAGGATACTAGGTTCTGCTAATAACAACCTGAAACCAACATAGTGGGAGAGGAATTACATTTTAAGAAAATTCTTCCAACAGAACATAAAGAATGGAATAGAAGTAGAGTAGGATATCAGAGTGCGTCATGCATGCTAAGGGTAGCTATTCCGTCATAGAAATAAATATATAAATTGCTACATATGTATATATATATATATATATATATATATATATATACACACACACACACATACACTTGGAAGATACGTAAACCATATTTCGTTGATTGAGAGAATAAATCATTTAGGACCAAAGGTTTGCCAAGTGTAGCTCTGGCTGGGAGAAGTCCCCATGGGAAGGTGTGCGTCTTCTCCCAGAGGTCACTACAACCGAGGGAGCACCTGACCTGGGACCCGCAGCCATTCTTTGCAAGGGGTGCAGCTGCGCAAATGCTCAGAGGTGATCAAAAGAACATCTCCCACCCATCACTTCATCAAAGAGCCAGGAGTGAGGAAGAGGACCCTCCTAGGTGAGGATTGAGGGTCCACCCTCCCCACATAGAGGGACCACGGGATCCAGCCTATACCCCACCCGGCTAACCCCAGCCGCTTAAGTTACAGGGAACTCTAGGGTCAGAGCTCCAGTGACCAGGGCAGAGCTGGTTAGAAGAGGGCAGGGCCCAGGCTCTGCCAGGAATCAAGGTCAGGGCCCTGAGAGGGCAATCCACACTTAACCCCCACCCCATCCCCCAACACCAACTGCATTCACATCCCCACCACCACTACCATCCTGGTAGAATCTGGGATTTGCCCCTGCTATCAACCCACGGAAGCTCCGGCAACGGCTGCCAGACACGCGGATCCTGATGTCCACATCTACGGCTAAGGGAGAGAAGGGGTTCGGTATCATGATCCCTGCCTTTGGGAAGCAGACGAAGTGCCCAGGCCTCCTGGGAGACAACGAAGGCCCGAGGGGACCCAGTGTACCAGACTGGGGGCCCACTCTACCCCTGTCTCAAACTGAGGCACCTTCTCATTCATCCCCCAGGAATCTGAGGGATCAGATCCAGTTCAGCAGGGGGTTGAGGCCCAGCCCTGTGAGGAGTCAAGGGGAGGAACAAAAGGGAGGACTGAGGGGACCTTGGAGTCCAGATCAGTGGGGACCTTGGCCTGGAGGATCCTGGGCACAGTGGCCGAATGTGCAGCATGCTCACTGCACCTTCAGGGTGACAGAGAGTTGAGGGCTGTGGTCTGAGGAGTGGAACTTCAGGTCAGTCAAGGGAGTAGCCCTGGGATTAGCAGGACCCAAGGTGTGACCCCTTCATGAGGACTGGGGATATGCCTGTCCCAGATAGAAGGGACGCCACAGAGTCTGGGTGTCCCGTATTCTTATCTCTGGAGGAACTCGATTAGGGATGGCCCAAAGTGTCAACCTTATTTGTACCACAGGCAGGAAGTTGGGGAACCCTCAGGGAGATAAGGTGTTGATGTAAAGGGGAGATGTCTGCTCATTTCAGGGGCTAGGGGGTTGAGGAAGGTCAGGTCCCAGCAGGAGTAAAGATGAGTAACCCACAGGAGGCCATCAGAACCCTCACCCCAGAACCAACAGGGTTGTTCTGGACACCCCAAGTGGGGGTGACAGGATGTGGCCCCTCCTCACTTCTATTTCCAGATCTTATGGAGGTGAGGACCTTGTTTTTGGACAGTGACTCAGGTCAACCCTCAGGCCCCCATCTGGTTGACAGAAGCAGCAGTCCTGGGATCTGCCAAGTGTCCAGGTGGGGAGCCTGAGGGAGGATTGAGGGTACCCCTGGGCCAGAACGCACACAGGGGCCCCACAGAAATCTGCATGCCCCTGCAGTTACCTCACAGAGCCTGGGTAGGGCTGTCAGCTGAGGTCCCTCCATTATCCTGGGATCACTGATGTCAGGGAAGGGGAGGCCTTGGTCTGAGGGGGCAGCACTGAGGTCAGCAGAGGGAGAGTCTCAGGCCCTGCCAGGAGTGGACTTGAGGACCAAGCAGGCTTCTCAACCAGGACACCTGAACTCCAGTGAATTTGGACATCCCTTGGTGTTCTGCCTGGGAGGACCTGGGCATGTATGGACAGATGTGGTCCCCTCATGTCCTTCTGTACTGTATCAAGGATGTGAGTTCTTGATATGAGAGTTTCTCAGAGCAGCAAAAGGGCAGGATTATGCCCTACCAGGAGGAAGGTAATGGTCCTGAGTGAGCACAGAGGGGCAATACAGAGGGGCCCACACAGAGTCTGGCCAACCCTCTTGACAGTACTGGGAATCCGTGGCTGTGCTTACAGTCTGCACCCTGGGGACCCGTGGATTCCTGTCCCAGGAGCTCCAGGAGCCAGGCAGAGTAAGGCCTTGGTCTGAGGCAGTGTCTTCAGGTCACAGAGCAGAGGAGGCACAGACAGTGCTAATAGTGAAGCTTCGCCTTGAATGCACACCAAGGGCCCCACCCACTCCAGAACACATGGGACTCCAGAGCACCTGGCCTCACCCTCCCTACTGTCAGTCCTGCAGCCTCAGCATGTGCTGGCCAGCTGTACCCTGATGTGCCCTCTCACTTCCTCCTTCAGGTTCTGGGGGGATAGGCTGACCAGGAGGACCAGAGGCTCCAGAGGAGCACTGAAGAAGAAGATCTGTAAGTAAGCCTCTGTTAGAGCCTCCAAGGTTCAGTTCAGTTCTCAGCTGAGGCTTCTGACACGGTTCCTCTCTCCCCAGGCCTGTGGGTCTCCATTGACCAGCTCCTGCCCACACTCCTGCCAGCTGCCCTGACCAGAGCCATCATGCCACTTGAACAGAGGAATCAGCACTGCAAGCCTGAGGAAGGCCTTGAGGCTGAAAAAGAAGCCCTGGGCCTGGTGGGTGCGCAGGCTCCTGCTACTGAGGAGCAGGAGGCTGCTGCCTCCTCCTCCACTCTAGTGGAAGTCACCCTGGGGGAGGTGCCTGCTGCCGGGTCGCCGGGTCACCGGGTCCTCCCCAGGGTCCTCAGGGAGCCTCCACCTTCCTCACTACTGTCAACTACACTCTCTGGAGCCAATCTGATGGGTGCTCCAGCAACCAAGTAGAGGAGGGGCCAAGCACCTCTCCTGACCTGGAGTCAATGTTCCTAGCAGCACTCACTAGGAAGGTGGCTGAGTTGGTTAATTTTCTGCTCCTCAAGTATCAAGCCAGCGAGCTGGTCGCAAAGGCAGAAATGCTAGAGTGTGTCATTCCAGATTGCATGTACTTCTTCCCTGTGATCTTCCGCAAAGCGTCTGATTCCTTGCAGCTGATCTTTGGCATCGATGTGATGGAAGTCGACCCCACCTGCCACTTATACATCCTTGTCACCTGCCTGGGCCTCTCCTATGATGGCCTGCTGAGCGATGATCAGATCATGCCCAAGACAGGCCTCCTGATACTTGTCCTGGGCATGATCGCAACAGAGGGTGATTGCGCTCCTGAGGAGAAAATCTGGGAGGAGCCGAGTGCGATGGAGGTGTTTGATGGGAGAGAGCACAGTGTCTTTGCAGAGCCCAGGAAGCTGCTCACCCAAGATTTGATGCAGGAAAACTACCTGGAGTACCGGCAGGTGCCTGGCAGTGATCCTGCATGCTACGAGTTCCTGTGGGGCCCAAGGGCCCGCCTTGAAACCAGCTACATGAAAGTCCTGCAGCATATGCTAAGTATCAGTGGAGGACGTCACATTTCCTACTCATCCCTGCATGAATTGGCTTTGAGAGAGGGGGAAGAGTGAGTCTGAGCACGAGTTGCAGCCAGGGTCAGTGGGAGGGGGGCTGGGCCAGTACACCTTCCAGGGCCCCGTCCAGTAGCTTCCCCTGCCTTGTGTGGCATGAGGCCCATTCTTCACTCTTTGAAGAGTGAAGTCAGTGTTCTTAATAGTGGGTTTCTGTTCTTGGAGATTTATTTTTGTTTCCTATTGGAATTGTTCAAATGTTCCTTTTAGTGGATGGTTGAATGAACTTCAGCATCCAAGTTTTTGAATGACAGTAGTCACACATAGTGCTGTTTGTATAGTTTAGAAGAGTCTTGTTCTTTATTCGGATTGGGAAATCCATTCAGTTTTGTGAATTGTGACATAATAACAGCAGTGGAATAAGTATTTACTTAGAACTGTGAACGAATTAACAGTAAAATAAGTGAGATAAAGAACTAAAGAAATTAAAAGATAGATAATTTTTGCCTTATACTTCAGTCTATTCTGTAAAATTAAAAAGAAAATATGCATACCTGGATTTACTTGGCTTCTTTGAGAATGTAAGAGAAATGAAACCTGAATAAAGAATTCTTCCTGTTCACTGGCTCATTTCTTGCCCATTCACTCAGCATCTGCTCTGTGGAAAGTCCTGGATTGGTAGTGGGGATGCTAAGGTAAGCCACACTCACGCCTACCCATAGGGTGGTAGAGTCTAGAAGCTGAAGTCACATAATCAAGGTGGTGAGAACTCCTCTAAGATGTAGAGGAAAAGTAAGAGAGGAGTGTGGTTGGGGGGCTCCAGGTGAGAGTGTGGAGTGTAAATGGTCACCACTGTGTGGGCCCCACTCTGTGGGACCTTTTGGGCTTTGGGAAACTGCAATTCCTTCTGAAGAAGCTGATTGTAATGATCCTGAGTGGGTCCAGGGCCAGATTTTCAGAGGATGAGAGAAAAGCCTGGAATGGAAAGCTGCCCTGAGCAGTTTCTTTCAGGCAGTGGATGAACAGAGAGGAGTCTCTGCCTGGGGCAGGAATAGAAGGTGTCCTGTGCTCTTGTCCCAGTGCCAGTGAACACAGCCCTAGATCTAGGTGATGGACACCCATCATCTTCAAGGGTTTCCTGAGCGATAAGGGTGAATTTCCCGGGAAGGGTGGCCTGGAAGCCACTGGCCAGGTGCTTTTCTGCTGGGCAGGGAGAGCCAGAGCTGACTCCATTAAAAAGGCATTCTAACTAGGTTATCTCAAGTGCAGTTTGACCAATTGTAAGCAAAGGTTAGATTTTCGATGGTAACAAAGTGGATGGAAATAGTGGTTTGGGTGGGAAAGCAGCTGGGAGAGAAGGAAGAAGTTAGTCGTTGACTCAAATTCTAGGAGCTTTGAGCTGCACATGGCTGGGCAAAACTCCCGCACACCCAAATGTTGAAGTACATTCTCTAAGAGGAAATACTGAATTTTATGGATGAAATTTCCTTTTTTGGCTATTTATCCCATGTCCTGTTGAGCTGTATATTCTCTGATAAGTCCTGGAGAACAATGACAACAACGAAATTTCAGAGTGTTAGGGTTAGGGTTAAATAATATTAGAAATAGCAGCCATCTGCAATTCCATAAACTTCTAATTTACACTAGGCCCTGAGCCAGGTGCTTCACTTACATTGCACACACTTCAACTGTCCTACTAGACAGGGCGTATCGCACCTGCTTACAGACGAAGAATCCGAGGCCCATAGGGCTTGTGAATTGGGACATAATAACAAGGTGTTTCCTGGGTATTTCCCAGGATCACGTGGCTAGTAAGGAACGGGGCTGAAATCAGATCCCTTGTCTGAATTCCTTTACAGCCCATACTCTTCCCACCTCTCCCATCCCAAGAAGACTGGTACTTCATTTTTGTTCTCAGCACTGTGTCATGTCTCTCAGGTGACAAAAAGAAGGACCTTGAGGCCAGCATACTAAAAGCAGGCCTGGAGAACACGACAATGAAAATAAAACACCATTTGGGGCTGCTGCACGCTGGATTCCTTGAGAGTTGACTCTGCCCAGGTATGGGCATTTCTGTCCAGCCCCAGCTCTTTCCAGAATTACAGCACATTTCCCCTAGTCACTTCCATGTGTCCTGTCTGTCTCTGGAACCTGGCCTGATGACCAGCTCATCACTGGTCAACACAGAACAGCCCAGAATTGTCTGCTCTCCTCCTGACAGGGCGCATTCCTTCTCCTTTCAGAAGTCCTCTGGATGTCCCATCTCTCACCCAGGAAGCCATATGATGCCAAAAAACCTTTTGATATAAAAATTCACATGGGCACAGTGATGTTTAAACACCTGGTTACCACTCTGGTGATCTTCAACACACTTTCTAATTGTTTTCTGTATGAGCTGAGCAGTCTGATTCGCCATATTATCTGAGGGTTCTTGGGATATCACCCTCAAGTTAGAGAGATTTGGAACCACCTTGATACTTGAAATCAGACTTTCATAGGGCATCTTTTTGGGATTCACCTGTGAATACATGCACAGATGAATGGTCAAAGAGCAAACCTTCCCTCATGACTATTAGATGAGAAATAACTTGGGAAATCCCAGTGGAACAAACATCTACTTATTGAAGTTGAATTCCTAAATTTCTGGAGTCCTCCAGCAGTTTAAAAATGATTCCTTGAAAACACGTCAACTCTAATGAAAGAGGAATTATTAAGCAGCCTTCTATTTCTTGTCTGTTTAACTGCTCCACAGGAAAATACTGGCTTTCAGTGTGTCTAGAGGCAGCTGACAGGAGTTTGGGCATGTGGAGGGTAACAGAAATTCACAGGTTAACATTTTGACCAGGAATCAAATGGAGGAAAAATTTGCAGCCTGCTAAGCATTTAAGGGGTATAGCAAAGGTAAGCCTTCCTGCTGAGACTTTCAAGATTCTTGAGCAGTTAGTTGTGATCATATATTTGAAAACGTCAGTCACATCTTTGACACTGGAAAAAGTTGGAGAACTTAAAGGCAAATTGGCCTTCTCAGGAACTTCTCCTTGAAATGAGATTGGTAGTGTAATACCAGATAATTACAGTTGTCTCTTGTTGAGCACCTACTACGTAACAGTTTATTGGGGGCTTTATAGTACTCACCCACATTGTTTTCTTATAAAAAGGATGTATTAACATGGATATTGGGTTAAGGTGAAAAGGTGAAAATAGTTTAACATTTAAAATATTTTTAAAATTTTATTACAAAAATGCTGTACCAATTCACATTCTCATAAAAATCACAAATGAGTTAAAATTCTGAAATGTGGACAGGACATTTCTTCTCTGCTTTTACGAGGTTTTGGTCAGACTGAACAGGAACCAGGGAAGGAGAGGAGACAGGAGACACTCAGCTGGTGAGGAAGATCTGGAGGGATCCGGGGGAGAGCAGTTGCCAACACCCATGAGAAAGACCACATGTGCAACCAAGTCCACTGAGCCCCAGGTGGGCTGGCACACAGAGCTCTGAATCTACTGTTCAACCTGGTGGGGGCAGAGACCTGAGGGAGACAAGGGGGAAGGGAAGAAGGAGGACAGGACAATGAACAGGAATAGGCTTGGGAAATCCAGGCACCATCATCACCAGCTGGAGGGTCCCTATGATGATCTGAGTGGGTAGGTCTGTTGGCTGAATGCACCAGGGCTGCGATGAACACCCACCCCTCCCTCAGAATCCCCTTCCCTCTCTCAGGAAGAGCTTGGCTTGCTCCCTGCATCATTCTGGGCCAATTACCTCTTTTGAACATTCTCGTGGTCCTGTGTAGGTCCAGTCCTACTGGGTCCTTTGAGTCCCTATCTGCTGGTGTGGAGAAGAGAAACTGTAGAAATAAAAGATGCATGTGTCCTTATAGTAGAATGATTTATAATCCTTTGGATATATACCCAGTAATGGGATTGCTGGGTCAAATGGGATTTCTATTTTTAGGTCATTGGGGGATCGCCACACTGTCTTCCACAATGGTTGAATTAATTTACACTCCCACCAACAGTGTAAAAGTGTTCCTACTTCTCCACATCCTCTCTAGCATCTGTTGCCTCCAGACTTTTTAATGATCGCCATTCTAACTGGTGTGAGATGGTATCTCAATGTGGATTATAAATCATTCTACTATAAGGACACATGCACACGAATGTTCATTGCAGCACTGTTTACAATAGCAAAGACCTGGAACCAACCCAAATGCCCATCGACGATAGACTGGATAGGGAAAATGTGGCACATATACACCACGGAATATTACGCAGCCATCAAAAACGATGAGTTCACGTCCTTTGTAGGGACATGGATGAACCTGGAAACCATCATTCTCAGTAAACTGACACAAGAGCAGAAAATCAAACACCGCATGTTCTCACTCATAGGCGGGTGTTGAACAATGAGAACACATGGACACAGGGAGGGGAGCACTACACACTGGGGTCTGTGGGGGGAAATGGGGGAGGGAGGGAGGGGTTGGGAGGTGGGAAGAGATAGCATGGGGAGAAATGACAGATACAGGTGAGGGGACGGAAGGCAGCAAACCACACTGCCATGTGTGTACCTATGCAACAATCTTGCATGTTCTTCACATGTACCCCAAAACCTAAAATGCAATTAAAAAAAAAAAAGAAAGAAAGAAAAGACACAAAACACAGAGATAGAGAAAAGAGTCTGGGCCTGACTCTACTAAAAAATACAAACATTAGTCGAGCGTGACGTTGCACATCTGTAGTCTCAGCTACTCAGGAGACTGAGGAAGAAGAATTGCTTGAACCTGGGAGGTGGAGGTAGCAGTGAGCTGAGATCCCACCACTGAACTCCAGCCTGGGAGACAGAGTGAGACTCTGTCTCAAAAAACAAAACAAAACAAAAAACTGGGTCATGTGTTTTTTTAATTTTTAAGTTTTGAGAGCTCATTATGTATTCTAAATACAAATTCTTTGTTGGATATACAGTTTTCAAATATTTACTTCCCGTCTGCAGCTGGCTTTTTAACTTTTCATTGTCTTTCTAAGAGCAAAAGTTTTTAATTTTGAGAAATTCTCATTTATATGTTTTCCTTTATGAATCCTACTTTCAACATCATGTTCAAGACCTCTTTTCCTAGTCCAGGTCATGAGATTTCTTTTCTCCAGTGCTTTCTTTTCTTTTTTTTTTTGAGACGAAGTTTTGCTCTGTCACCAGGGCGTATCTAATTGTTCCTATACTATTTATTGAAAAGACCAACATTTGTCAATTGAATTGTCTTAGGTCTTTGTAAAACTCTATAGGCCATACTTATGTGGATCTACTTCTGGGCTCTCTACTCAGTTTCACTGATCTGTGTCCATCCCTTAACTAACACCACAATGACTTGATTACTACAGGCTTATCTTAAAATCAGTTGGTAAAATTCTTCCAAATTTATTATGCCTTTTATAACTTTTGGACAAATAAAAATGGCTATATAGTTACTTTGCATGTGTGGTGAGAACACTTAAGATCTACTCTCTTAGCAAATTTCAGGTATATATATAATACATTATTAAATATAGCAACCATATTGTAATCAGATCCCAAGAACTTACTCATCTTATGACTGAAATTTTGTACCCACTGACCAGGATTCC